TGGTTCGTAGTTTTCGAACATGTGATACGTCAGCCGGCAAGCTCGATTTCCGGCCATCGACGAGGAGGAGAATTCGGCCATCTTCCGGCCGGCAAATCAAAAGAGGACGCGAAGTCGGAAGTGTCGCCGGAGGTCGACGCTGGCTGGGTGGCGCACCTTTTGAAGGTTCTTTGAGGTAGGAACGCTCTTTTGTTGACGGTTGATTGTTGTCAAAATGGTTGTGAGGTATATTACTATTTGAAGTATGTTAACGATACGAAAAGACGGAGCCGAACGGGAGACGCGGCGCGACCTTGACGAACTTGGGGAGGGGATTTTAACGTTCAAGACCGGTAGTCTCTCAGAAATCAAATTTCTTATCCTCTAACAAAATAGGATTGAAATCCTGCAAACGAGAGACATGCGGAAATCCTTCTTGTTCGAAGTCGTTTCGCGCCGCTTCGCTCGCGAGAGCTCAGCATAGGGAGACGAGGTGGAAAACGTGCGCTCACCTGATCTCGGGATCCCGCCGAGGGGCGAAATTAGTGGTAAATGCGAGCGTGTAACGTGTACGCGACGCCGCGATGTAAATTTGCTTTGACGTTGTTGATCGTTGCGTGTGAGTTCGTTACTAGTCCGTGGACGGCGCGATTGTGCTTTATAATTCCGCAACTGTATAATTGATACGGCTGCGTCGAAAACTGGCCCGAGTCGATTTCATTCCGACCAACGTTGAGTTCTCTCTCTAAAAAAAATTTTATTTGGAGAGAAAGAAGTCGTAAACGTCATTATTCGTGCGATGAAATGCAAATTAGACAATACAAAAATAATCGCTCGTATCTTCTTAGAAAGTTTTAATTAAAGCTAATTCGTTTGTTTTTTTTTTATTTAACTTCTTTTAAATCGAGGCGACTCTTAATCAATAGCATCAAATGTTGCATTAAGAATCGTAAAGTACTTATATTTTTATTCGAACAGACAGAATTGAATATCTTATTTAAGTATATATTACAACGTTTATGTTATTATTGTACATGTAGAACAAAATTATTTGTTACATTCTAATTATAAGAGAAATTTGAGATTGCGAAAGGAGATAAGAAAAGTAATTAAAAAGTGCGACGGAGGCCAATGGAAAAAATGCGTTTTCGCGCAGCGCGCGATTTCCTATAAATTGTTATTGTTAATTATTGTCACTTATTATGTGATTAAGACGAATTAGAACGCCAAAGGAGGCCGAGCGCCTGATTTAGCGAATTATTCTGCGAGCGCACGTTTTCCTTGCGTAAAGACGAACTCGATGTACCGTTTCGTCTCCGAAAAAGAAGCGTACAACTGGCATTAAATTATACGCGGAGTCTGGTTCGAGTACGTGGCGCCGACGACGAGGAATCGATGGCGAGGAGCCGCGGCGCGTCGTCCCGCGTTTTCTCAGAGAGAGGGAACGCAGACGCCCCGTCGTCGGCTCGATCAGGCTCGGCGGAAGAAATATGAGACTGATATAAACCAGTATTCGTGCGAGAAATTGCAAATTGCGAGAAATTGCGCGGCATAGCCTTAATAAGAAAAATTAATTAGATTTATTCGGCGATCGGTGGTGTCGGTCCCGCGAAAAATTATATTCAATTGGCTGTATAAGTGAAAAAGGGAATAAGTAGGAAAAAGCAAAAAAAAAAAGAAATACCTCTCGTCGAGGGTTGACACGTTGGGAAGATCGAGATGTCATGTCGTGAACGTTGTCTACCCTCGCACGGCGATGTATCTAGTGAGAGTATAATGTTATTAGGTAAACTTAAGCGTACTTTAAAAGCGAAGTGCGGAAGGAGAACGGAACGCAATGCCAGTTGTAAAACGGGATGGGTCGGGAAGGGGCAAAGGGGGGTATTAACGCGAGAAGAACGTGTTCCGACAACGCGAGACTCGTCCCCAGTGATAACAAAAGGGATATTCGCGGGAGGGAAAGAAAGACACGGGAAAAACGGCACCGAGATCACGGGTGGGAGGATGGAAAAGCGAAACGCTAGTTAAACAACAGGCACGGGACACGAGAAAAGCGATATGTATACATATATAATCGTGATATATATGTGTATACATATATATATATGTATATATATGTATACACATATTATAAACGTGTATATATATTTTATTAAATGGCGTGAACGCGTATTTAACTTTCGGTACGGGATTTTCGTTCTTTCATTTTTCCCCTCCCCCCTTTTACATTGTTTGTTTTTTGTTTGTCATTCTTCGCGGTACCGTTTTTCGGGGACATCCTGTCAACGCGTTCCGCGAGATACGATTCGAGTGTACACACTCGCACACGCAATGCTGTTCATGTGTATACGCGATAGACTATTTCGGACTACGGATGCGGGGGACAAAAGGGAAATAGAGAAACGACAGCTTTACCGATAGCGGGACAGTAGTTATTTGCAACACGTGCACACACACGTATAACACACACGCATACACATGTAAAGTGATCCAAGCGATAAACACAAAAAAAATTGTATGAATATAATGTTTGCAGTTAGGTGGGACCAAAAACGACTTTATATCTCTATGTGCATATCCAAGCAACGTGTAATTTAATTAATGAATTAATTAATTATCCATTATTAATGACTAGGTAAAGTAAAAGATCCATTGATAGCAATCGAGAACGATGACGAATGATTAACGAGTAATTAGTCTATTAAGTTTGTTTATTGATACATTATTCTATGATATAATTATTATTATTATTAACTTTATTGCCTTTATTATTATTATTTTATTATTACATTGATTAAAATGACGATGATAATATTATTTAAACAATGTTTTAAGGCGATTATCTAGATATCGAGTAGAGAACAGTACGTATCTATAATTATTAATTATTTTTAATTATTATATTCTTATTATTATTATATTATTATGAGACATTTTGTTGTATTATTTTCAATAAAATCGATTGAAAAATATTCAGTTTACCAATTGGTTAATTCTCGCTTCTCCGCATGTATCGTGCAACTGCATGTTCCCAATTTCTTTCTCGTCTATTTGCGATCTTAATAATGCAATTACGTTTAAATATGATATTAAAGTCAAAAGTAATTTGTAAACAAGAAACGAAAGAAATTGAAACATCTCATTGTTCGTACACGGAGTAGCGCGCCTTATCCTAAAGTCCGTTGCGATCTCAAAAGAGCATTGTTTGCGATCGCGAAAGTTTTCTAAAATTAATAGAGGCTGTTAAATACATTAACAAAGATAAAATACTGTTAAAATTTTTTTAGTTGACTATTTAGATCTTTTTATAATTAAGGTGTTCTTAAAGTGTTCTCTAAAGATTATATATATATAATGTAAATGTGACTGAAAAAATATATTAATATTTGTAATAAGTAACAGAAGAAATAAGGATTTGTCTGTTTGGTGTAACTGTAAGGTACAAATTGTATGTACATTTTTATTAAGGACACTATTTTTCACGTAACAATGATTAAGATTTTTTAAATGTTTTTAACATCCGTGTGTGATGTCTGTTCTTTAGAATATTGCACTTATTTGTCACAAAATAACTTGCAATATTCTACAAGAAACAGAATTCCGCGAGAGAGATCTCTAATTCTCTTAGGAAACTTGACGCGCAGTGAACGAAGTCATGATATTTGCGATCGTAACTGTCATCATTCATGTACATATATTCTTTTCCTTATTTTTATTTTAATTCAGCATTATAATTAATTCCATTAACCGCGTATCTGTATACGATTATCTCTCCGCTACCCTCCGACTATCCTAGTTCTTCAAATCCCTCCTCTTCGTAACTCTCTATCCCTCTTACTCTCACGTGTCTTCGGATAATTTTCATGACTCGGAAAGAGCGGGGGGAGGGGGGAAGACGTAATAAAGCTACCAATAGTGAAAGAAAACGGGGAATGCGAGGTAAAACGGGGGTAGAATGATCTAACAAAGAGAAAGTCAGAGAGCGTATTATTATGGGACAAAAAGAAAATAGGCGAACCAAATGAAATGGAAGAGAAGAAGAAACCACGGAACAATAGACAAATGAGAAAAATAGTTGTAAAAGCCACACACGTAAGAATGCGTACACGTACACATACACATAGACACAAAAAGAAACACAAATGTACTAAGTAAGTTCATACTGCGTATTGCCTTTCTGACTTCGGTGTGAAAATATATAAATAAAAAAAAAGTCAGTCGCGCCGGGGCACGCGTATGTTCGCGCATACATATTATATATTATAGTTATTAGCGTTCGACGAGAGAGACGAGGACTAGCTGCTTCCGCTTCTTCCTGCCAGCCTACTTTTTTTCCCTTACATTCGCTTCTGTAATTCGATCCTTTCATTGAGAACTCTTGAACGGGTAAAAGAAACACTTAACAAGAGGAGATTGGCGACTTCCGTCTTTACGTCCGATCGAAGTCGCATCACTTTCCTTTCTCTTATTTACGAGTTCTCTTAAAATTTCTACTTAAAAAAATTGCCGTATTTCCGGTTGATTAATCCTGCTTGTTTATCCCGGAGCAGGCGGACGCGGAAGCAGCGGACGGCAGTATTCGTCGCGAAAACTTTTTTCACGGTTCCGTAAGAAAAAGTCCCACGCCGCGAAGTCCGCGCGTCCCCGCCGACTGTGTCTGTTTCATGTTTTTCAATATTTGTAATTTATCGATAAAATTATAAAAGATATCGATACATAACAATCTAAAGTGTGCGCTACTCTACATAATAATATTATATATAAAAAGTATAAAAGTATACATTATATATATATTATATATATATACATATATATTATATATGAAAAGTATAATATATATATATTATACATACATTGGGATTGGTGAGAATATACGGTTTTTTCGCTTTGGAGTGTTATTTTCTGAAAATATTGAACAAAATATGGAAAAAAAATTAATAAAACCAATGAGTAAAAACAAAACAAATGTGATTTTTTTATTCTCACCCGATGTACGACACATCATCGGCGACAGGCAATTCTCTGTTGGATTTTGCGATTACATTCATATCGCGTGAGCGCACAAGTGTGAATATCTGATGCAAATAACTTTGTGTGACGCGTAACATTTTACTTTTAATTCATAATATATGAAATCCGATATATTAGATTCTGAAAATAATTCAGAATTTGAAGGAGAGCACAATGAATTCATTCACAAGAAGAATGAGGTTGGTTAATATATAATACCTTTAATAATTAATATTACTTCAAATGTTCAATTTTAATGGATTTAAATAATGTCTTATTAACTTCTTAAAATTAATATACATTGAACAAATTTAAATTACTAATTTTAATTTGTAACTAATCTGTAATTATTTTTACTTTGTACATATCAGACATGTAAATTATTAATTACAATGTTACTATAATGTAATAATTTTGTAAAAATTTTGTTTTTTCATTCGACATTTATTGAAAATACAGATGTTCGAAAAAATTATACATATGCCGACTCTTCCGAGCACTTTTAATAGTCTCGTTGAGAAGACAGTGAAGCTAGAAACGGATGAACCCCGATGTGTTATCGAGTCGGTAAAATTTTAGACACATAAGTTATTTAAACTTTACAAAATCTGAAATTGTGAGATATTGAAATATATTGAATATTTAATCTGTACAGATTGCTAGCTGATCTTTTAGGAGTTAAAGATTACGAGAGTAACAAAACTGCTTTCTGGTTTTTGGATATAATAGCTCTTCAAGTTTTACGTTACAAAAATTGTCTAGATGATCATTATAGAAGTATATTAATTAGTTGGTTGGCTGGCGAAATGAAATTAATTCGAGGTGATTTTATCAATTCATACATGTCAAATAAAATATTTTTTACAAAGAGAATATTTAGAAAGAAATATAATATTCTTACACATAAACACATAAATTAAAATGAAGATTTTAGTGTATCTGAATTATTACATATACAATTAAATAACAGAATTTCGATACGTGGCATAATAAATATATTAGTGAAATTATATCTTTTAGAGACAGAATATTTTTGCAGATAAAAAACTACTTCGCGAAAATTTTTTTAAAGAAATGAGAATATTATTTCTCTATGTTGCTGAAAAATTATCTGATGGCGATCGATTGCTGCATTGGGAGTTACTCATGGATGCATATTCTGATATTGTTTCACAAAATTTTATTTCTGATGGGTCTATCGACAGTAAAGCGGAATATTTAAATACAAATAAATTACCTGAAAAGGAATTAATGGCAGAAGATGAATATGCGTCCCAAGAAGACAAACTTATTTTTGTTGGAAAAGACTTGAAAAATTATAATGGAAATAGGTAAATCGAAGAAAGCATAATTTATTACTATCGTGAGTCACACACGTTATATTATTTTATTGTGCGTACGGTTTTTTAAAACTACATCAAATAAAGATTCTTATTTCAGACGTGTAACAAATAATCTGCAAGAGGAATCGCCGATAAACTTCAAAACTGTATTAACTATAGAGAATTTGCAAACAGATACAATCACAGACGAAAACGCAGTTATTGAATCTTTTAATTTAATGAATCCAAGCGACGTTCTGGATGTAATTGTTGAAGCGACATACAACATGTACGTATGTATAAAAAGATATGACATATTATATTTTGAATATTTTTTAACATTTCGAAGAAAAATAATATGCACACGATATAAGATTTTATCGGCGCATCTTTTATTTTTTTAAATAGGTACGCTAATGAATTACGATATGCCCTTATATATGCAGTTTTTGTAAAACCAATACAAATGCAAATTTTTCTTATGCCCCATGCTTATCAAATACAACGTCAAATTAAACTCGCACATTCCGGAGGATCATTTGACATACAGCTTCGTGAACGATTAGAAGAGGTTGCTCGCGAATCAATTAACAATGGTAAAAAATTTAAACGTAAATAATATAATGAAATAATTGTAGATTTAGTTATTTGTACATGTTGCATTCAATATAATATAAGACTACACTTATCTAGTAATGTTTATGTAATCGTATCTATAATGTCCATTTTGTACTTTATTATAATTATAAGAATGTGTTTATTTTTTATTTTATCATAGTCATGTAATTATTTGTCCACAGTGATAAATGAAAATTAATAATTTTTTACTTTCAGGAAAGAAAATGACTGATTACATGAAAAAAGATCAAATGATCGAAGATTTCGAGATTCCTCCAACACCACCACCTTCGTTAAATGAGGAAGAAATATTAGCTAATAATTGTCGATTTATTCTACCATTGATAGAAGCGAACGAAGCGGCGCAGATCTTCGAAATGCATACAGAGAGTATGTAATACAATAAATATGAATATAAGATTGAAAGAATATATTATTTCGTCTAACAATTTTAAGTACAATGTTATTCTGTGATTATCGCCGTGCCCCATTCATGACATTTGAATTTTTTTACTGTTTCAGAATTTAGAGAAAAATGAATGTCCAATTTAACAAAATTATATGGATTTTCCAAATTTCGTTGAAGTTTTCCTAGTTGACCGTACTTATTAGTGCCACAACCCCAAAAGAAGCCATCGTCTAAAAAAAACGAAGATTATTTTTCTTCTATAAAATATCTTTATTAAAACTATTGAGTTTATGAAAAGAAAATTCATTTTACCTGTTAAACATACAGTAAACGAATTTCCACACTCGACTTTTTTAACATTAATTTCTATATTTTCTCCTCTGTCATTTTTAAAATCTACTAAACTTGGAATGGCGTAAACTTTTTTGTCTTTATTTTCAATCCCTAGCTCTCCATTTGAATTCCATCCCCAAGTATAAAGATCACCCTATTATATTAAGTTTCGTTTATAAATCACATAATGATAAATGGAATTTACTAGTTTTTATATACTGACCTGGTCAGTGATTACGGCGGAATGCCAACCACCTGCTGATATTTGTACTACTTTCAGACCTGCTAGGGCTTCAATAAGCTTTGGATTATCACAGTTTTCTAACTCGTTGTGTCCTAACTGGCCACGTCTATCATGTAAATTATAATAATTATACAATATAAAAATTTCCTAAGAATAATTTCGTGCTTCTCTAATATTACATACATTCCCATTCCCATTGAGTATACATCACCATTCTCTGCCAGTAAAATAGTATGATCAAAACCACAAGAAAGATCAACAAATTTGACTCTCTTTGGTATCTCAACTAAAAGTGGGGCATTAAATACACGTCCTTAGAAAATAAAACATTTTTTGTAAAAACTATATTTAATAACGTGTAATGCTTAAGTTGAGAATTTTTTATTGCACACCTAAATTGGTTAAAATTACTGTACATCCTGCTTGTGATAGTTTAATAGCGTGTTCAACTTGAATGTTGTCATTGCTAGGAATAAAGGGTGTTACTTTTTGCCAAGTGTCATCATATATTTTATATTTCCAGATTTCATTGCGTGTGGACAAAACAACTACACTATCCCTACCAGGAATAGCCAATTTACAACTGTAAAAAAAGTCACATTTTAATAAGGTAAAGAATAAAACAAAATTTTTAAAGAAAAAAGTCATATTTTGTCTATTGCCTTCCTGATGACTCTTCTGGAATCTGCATTAAACATGGCCTGTTTTTTTCATCTTCCTCACTAATTTTGCCAGTGATATATAATTTCGTCTTTTGCCACAGAAGAAAATAATTCCAACCAATCTCAATGTCTGTGATTTCAGGAAACGGAATCTGAGTCAAATGCGATATTGATGTGATAATCCCATCCTGATCGGAAAAGAGTGGACTGGCATTTAAGCCAGTATAATATACCGGCATGTCTCTGTAAATAATAAAAATACAATAGAGTAATATAACGTCATTATTTTATTATTATAAATACTTTATTATTAGTTTTTTTTATTATTACGAGAATTCTATTATTATTCTCTTAAATCCAAATAATTCATGAAATTATCTAAATTATGTTTGATATTTTAATAATAAGTAATCTTATCATTGAGGCATAGTTTAAAGTTTAAACAATCAAAATGCTCTTCATAAAAAAAATAATTTAAATAAAATATGTAGGTAAAACAGAAATGTATTTATTTATCTACTGTCGTTCACAAAAGCAATACGAAAAGATCGATATCAGTATGCGCACGTGGTAACCGAACTGTAGCTTCCACCTAACGGTATCAGATGCGCTAATCAACTCTCATAACATCAGTCAGAATATGCAGATGTCACCATTATCCTTGGATACCAGGAAAACAACACAACATTTTCATATAACGTAATGGAAATCGTCGAAATAACGCAGTAGATCGTTAACGCATCTTCGTTCCAGTACCTGAAATATATATCATCAAGAAGATGGTAAAAAAGTCACGTGAATTAAATGCAAATGCACAATATTATGCACTCTCTTTTTTTCCCGCCACCACCTGATACACTCTTAAATGCTTGAAGTAATCGAAACATAACCTGCGAAAATTTTATTGCAGTATATCAAATTTATATCAAGCGTTTTAAGTTTTTATTAATAAGTGCTACATAGGAAATTAAGAATTGTAAAACATCTCATTAAATAAAGTAAACAATTTTTATCAGTTTTTATTGTATATAAAAATTCACTTTCTATGCACTGTGTTCATCTTTCCGTATATACACTCGAGATGACGTTACGAATGCGAGCTAGCTATACCCTCGTCGTCATAACTTGCATACATTCAACTAGGAGAGAAGGGAATTATCTTCTTGAAATTGCACATTCTGATTGCGAACGAAATTCAAAATATTTCTATAGCTATTTAACATTTTACATAATATTGCAATCAATTATAAATTATTAACATATACACGATGCACTCAAGTAGAACACAGAAGTCATGAAGACATCATCATGACTTCATTCGTCACTTATAAGTCAATTTTTATTAGATATCAAATGACGTCATGATGACGTTCTGTGATACCATTATGACTTAATTATGACTCCGTGTTCTACCTGGGTAATTGCAAGTTCTTGTAATTGCAAAGTAATTAATTTCTATTAATAACTTTGCAACGAGACAAAATAAAATAATAAAAATATAAACTTGAATAATTTGATAGAAAAACGAAGTTATTTAATTTCTGAAATAAATATTTGAAATGATTAGAACTATATAATAAAATTATTATTAATTATTATTAATTGTAATATTATTATAATATATAGTATAATTATTATATAATGAGTGTAATTTGTAATAGATAATTATAATAAAAAAGTGTGATTGTAATTTGTAATATAATAGATAAATATATAATTTTTTAAAAATAATTATATTGAAAAAATTTTTCTTTTTTTATCCATTAATTTACTAGATAATATAATTGATATATTGAAAAATAAAGTATTTGTTACCATTTAAATTACAAAATTATTTTAATCTTTTCTCAATACTACAAATTCATTGCAAATTATTGATATTTAAAATGTCAGGGTCTGCTTGCTATTTTACGGAAATTACGATCGAATCCTGATAAAGAGCTGCGATTGTTATTACTGGGTCTGGACAATGCTGGAAAGACGACTATTTTGAAATCTTTGGCAAGCGAAGATATTACCCAGGTAAACTAATTCCTTCTTGATTTCCAAAATTATAATTTATAGACGGTGTAGTAAAAAAATTGATATAAAATATATTTAGTATAACAAATGTATTGTATAAATAAATTGATTTGTTTAAAGTAACTCCAACACAAGGTTTTAATATAAAAAGTGTCCAGAGCGAAGGTTTTAAATTAAATGTTTGGGATATTGGTGGAGCTCGAAAAATTCGACCATATTGGCGAAATTATTTCGAAAATACAGATGTACTTGTAAGTCTTTATTACTTCATTAATTTCTTTAATTTTTAAGTTTTAATATAAAAATTATTACATTTTTTATTACTATTTAATAACACAGCTTTTATATACAATTTTTATATACAATTTATAACATTTTACGACAACAATAAAATATAATAAATTAATTTATTATTTAAAATTTAAGATAGAAAAGATAATAAAATATATAAAAGATGAATAATTTATGTTTTTTTGCTGGAATTGTATTGTTTTAATAATCGAAATAATTATAGAAAAACTTCCTTATCCAAACATGTCAGGAGACGAGGTAGTTCCAATAGTAGAATACGAATAGTTTGCATAGAAGCTCATTAGCTCTTCCTTCTACCAATATTTATTAATTTTTTCGATAATAAGAGCATTCAGAAAACTGAAGTCAAGTTTATATAGTTCGGATAATGAGCTTAGCTATGAATTCATATATTTAAAACTGAGAATGAACTTGTTTATATAAACGGAATGTAGATAAATTAAGTTTTACTGTATATGTATTTTAAATAATATGTATGTTTATTAAGAATGTGTTCTTAAATATACAAAGATTCTCTAAAAGTTATAATTATAGCGATATAATTTAAATAATAAATATTGCAATTCTTTCTCTAAAAGTGTTGATTTTATTTAATAAATATTATAAATTAATTGTGATTATTCAAAAAGCATCTATCACGTCTGCACTGTTTTTATTTAAAGATAATCTTATCTTAAAATTTATGCAAATATTTTAATCTTGTATCTTTCTTTCTAGATAAAAATTAAATTGAAATTTTATAATGTTTATTGACTATAGATTTACGTCGTTGATAGTGCGGATATCAAAAGGTTGGAGGAAACGGGACAGGAATTATCAGAGCTTCTGTTGGAAGAAAAGTTACGCGGAGTGCCATTGCTAGTATACGCGAATAAACAAGACCTGGGACACGCCGTGACGGCAGCCGAAATAGCCGAGGGACTCGGTTTACATAATATCAAGGATCGTGATTGGCAAATACAATCGTGCATTGCTATTGAGGGCAAAGGCGTGAAAGTGTGTAGCATATATTTTTTCGCTTTTAAATTTTAAAATGTCATACGTTAATTATATATAGAATTATCATTTTGCCATTAATGCTTTTTATATTTCAATATGTTGGACAGTATATAAACTGCGTAAAAATAAAAATCTTAGACATAAAAATTTAAAGTCACATCAATGTATAATTTTATGAATTTATGTCTTGTATTATTTGCATTTTAGAATTAAGTTTAGAATTAAGTTTATCTCTATTTTCAGGAAGGTTTAGAATGGGCATGCAAGAACATTAAAAGGAAGTAATAAACACACCGGAAATCAAGAGACATAATTGACGTTTATTAGGGCGCACGAAAGGAACAAGGCTTACACCATCTCCATTGTATATTTTACACATGATCTTTATTTATCTTTTAACTACTATTTACAAAAAATTATTTAGAACATTGTTATATGTAGATTCGGTATGAATGTATGTATATCGAATAGGTTTCTACAAACTCGTTGTCATATCGAACATATCCAATTGTCAGACTTCCGTCCATTTCGGACTCGAGAAGTTCTATTTTTCGCAGAAAAGAAAGTAATAGCGAGTCTCCATAAAATATATACGGCAAACTTTACTTAAATGTGCCTTCTTGCTGTTTTAACTATAGATTGGAATTTTTATAGATTTATCTAGTGAGAAATAAAAAAATAAAGAGATGTAACAAAAAGAAAGACACGATATGTATAATTCATATAGATACAATTATGAATACAATATTTATACTTATATGTATATAAAGATTTGAGCACCATGCGTTATTTCACTCGCGAAGAAAAATCGCGGAAACAGCTAAAGTATAATTTGCAGTATGCACAAAATATCCATAACTGCACTTCCTCTCATCTAAATCAACGAATACTATAAATATAAGCAATTGAAAAAAAAATTTATATAATTTGAATAATGTTGTCGATTCAGCAGTTCTTTGTTAGAGATGATGAAAATTTGTATCATTCTGGTGTATTTATGATATGATATTATTTTCGCACGATATTATTTTTGCACGGCTATTGAATCCGCTTTGAAGTTTGATACCAGTATGATCTGCTTTTAATAATTTGTTTTTCTAAAACTTTTTCTCTTAATGACGTTTGAACATGAAAATAAATTTTTATATTCAATAAGTTTAATTTTTTATCCCATAATATTTTAACAAATAAATAGATTTATTATATTGGCACAGTGTTATATCCGATACATTTAAAATATGAATCAGAGAAATCACTCATTTTATATTTTATATATATATATATTTTTATTAATGATTTTAATATTCTTAATCATTTATTTTTTAAGATAAAAATATCGCATGATATCATCCCAATCACACGAATGAGATCTTTGCAATAATTGGAGCATTAAAATGGAAAATGATACTTGCGCATGATAATAAAATTATGATACCATTTTTTTTTCATAAAAAAGAAAATAGATAACATAATTAAAAAGTATTGTTTTCGATGTCATTAAGAGAAGTATTATGCTTAACGTATTTTTTTAAAACGTGATTTTTATTTACAATTGTAATTATCTGTTAAAACAGCCGAAAAAATTGGAAGCTTTTTGCATACATCATATGCTTTTTGAGAACTTTGGTTCTCGAATACTTATTCATAAATATTATAAAAATTTTTTTAAATGTTTAAATTAGACCACATAGATATTTAGGCATTCATCAGATGATGTTTTTCAGATATCTTCACGATATCTTCTAAGCATTTCTGGTTACATTTTATTAACATAAAATATTAAAAATTGATTCTTTATAGCGCTTTTTGTTTGTACATGCAAAAATATTGAAGACACTCATTGATAGTTTAGTCGCTTCTATCAAGTCTCCGTCACAATCATCAACATAATTTCGTTAAGCGCATTTTATTTTGTGCAATAGATACGGTAAAATAAATAAGACCACACGTCTTCGCGGCACGTATTTCTAATTTTAGAGGCGACTTAGCAATGTCTTTCACAGGTTGCTAACAAGCTAAACTCATAGTTCGCTATGAATGTTTTCCGTAGTCACTCTGATCTCCTCTTCATGGAAAGCGGTGCAATTTGCTGGATATTTGCTCTAAAAGCAAAGAAAAATAAAGAAATAGTTTTTTTTTATTTTAGAGTGTACATTAAAATGTACTTTCTTTCTGTTAACGAATTATAGCGAGGATTATAGTTTACTCACGATGCATCCCTCTTGCTCCATAATGGCTCCGTAGAGGGACCAGAAATTAATTCCTAATTTATTACTGACTGCCCAGGCCGCGGGGAAACTTGCTACCCTCAGCAATGAGCTACGTACGCGTGGAAATACCTCGTTACCGCCATCCTCTCGTTGCTGACTCTTCTCATTTATGGTACATAAGATTTGACTAGCACATTGCGGCACTTTCGTCGCCCATTTGTACGCTCGATACGACTAGAAGTAAATAAACAATATATCGATATTTATTAAAATATCATAAAAATATCATAAAAAATAAGCAAAAATTTAATTAACAGTTTTAATTAACAAATTGAAGCGTAATACGAATTATACAGATATGAGAAAATTATGACTTTTTAAACTCTGATCTTACTTATAAACAATAGACTTATGTTTATCCGAAAATGTCGGGAAACAAAACACTTCCGATATCCGAATAATTCGGACAATAGAGGTTCATTAATTCTCTTCTTCACTAATACTTATTATTTCCGATAATAGAAGCTGATGTTCAGAAAATTGAAATTGAATAGTTGAGCTCTTATTATCCTACCTATATATTAACTCAGTTATGAAAATTCGAATATTTGTAACTGAGATAAATTTGTTCGTATAAGTGGATTGTAAATAAACGAAATTTCTATTTTCTTTGTACTATTCTAATTTTAAGAAATTTTGTTTGTGGTACTACTAAAAATTTTAAACGTATTAAGTTTTAAAAATTTTAAACGTTTTTTAATTAAGTTGTAAAAAGCATCAAATTTTAATTAAATCGATTTTTAATCTTTAGCAACAAAACTATGAAAAATGAAGAAATAAGATTGCCTGTTTATGCAATAAAATAATTTATTATAAGAAAGATATTGTTATAACTGTAAGAAAAGTGTTTTACCTTGAGAACAGGGCCGATGATATCGTTGTTGATAATGTCGCTTAGTTTGTTGCTTAGCTCTCGTGCATTTATTCGGGACATAATAAATCCTTTTTCGGAAGCCAAGCTTACTAATTCCTGGAAATACGCTACCGCCGGTCTTACATACTGTGAGCTGTCAAACTTCACGTTCAGGTATCTCTTCGTCAATCCGTTTATCAATCTAAGCGAAAAATTTTATATTGACTCTTACATATATTCACAAAAAATAAAGAAACTTAATTAACATAATAAACATTTTTATATTAACCTGGAGAGACTCTCCACTGGTTTTGAAGCATCGAACATCATTGTTTTTGGGAATCCCTGAGATTTTAGGAAGCTGTTACCGACGAATTGCGCGGTCGTGAGGTAGCGTTGCTGATTTATTGGTTCGGAAATGTGAGAGATCCATTCGGCCACAAAATTTGTGAGCGACTTGACCCACCTTCGACGTATAGTAGGACTCTCAAAACTGTCTAGGATTTTCTCCCATAGAATGTCGCCTTTCTCGTCCATCATTTGAGCAATTACCGTCGACAGACCGCTGTTCTTCCATAACGTTTGCCCGAGTTCCGAATTACTAAAATACAAAGAAATTCTTAGTTTACAGTAAAAAATGAGATATCGTTATTTATAAATATTAAATTATACTTAATATTTTCTAATTCTCTCTCTTTAAAATATATTAAATTTATTAGAGTTAGGAAGCAATTCAACATTACTTGTAACAAAATTAGAGTTATTTTTTTCTACTGTAGTTTAATTTTATTTCTCTTTAATTTAGTTATATTTTTTTGTAACTATAGTAACTAATTTAATAGCAACCCAAGAAATTATAAAAAAAGTAACTGAAAAGTAATTCGTACTAACTGTAACTGTAACATGTTACCTTTCAGAATCAGAAATTTGTAACGATAACTAGTTACTTTTATAAAGTAACTTTTCAAATTCTGATCATTCTCGTATAATATAAAATTTTCAATTAAAACAAGGACTTCTTGTAAAGTATTTTCCCGTTTTTAGTTGCTCTTAACTTATTTCAACAGCAAGAATTAACATAGAGTATTCGCGTTTTTATTGTATAGTTGGCGTTCTACCTGAAGTGCTCCCACATGATGTGAATGTTCTCCAATATCGGCGGCAAGAACCAGGAATGTCCCGAGTGATCTTTATTCCCGGCATCGTTGTCTTTCATTCCATGACCCAAGGAATCTAGAAGCATTGGCAAGAGACCCAATGTTACGTCGTTGTTCGCATTTTGTTGCAAGAACATGCTGCCCATGCTGATTATGTTGCCCCAGTCTATGCCGGATTCCTCTTTATGTTCCGTATCTCTTGCCGATCTCTTATTTGAGCCAGCATTCAAAAGGTCCAGAAATGAACCCATCATTGATAAATGATTATTTTGTCCACCTGACATCAAACTACTGAGCCCGGAAATGATCTGGCTGAGACCGTCCGCCGTGTCGGATCTTTTTTCGAACATCATGTCGCGGACCTGTCAATTTCTTATACTTTATATTTAAATTTTTAAACAATCATTTTGTAGACATTAAAAATAAAATTTTAAGCACAATTAGTGATTCTTATTTTGAATATTTATAACGGATTTTTGTGTTAAGATATAATAAAGAAAACATCAAGGGGAAATCGTAAATGTTAAAGAGATCAAAGAAATTGAAATTGATCGATATACTGAGAGAAAATGTCCAAGTATTACGAAAAAGATGATACTTATTGTTAGAATGTTTTCTTCGATATTTACTAGTTATGAAAAAATTTGATTGTGATGACAAAATATACATTTCTGTGAAATATAGCTCATTAATTGTAAAAAGTATAAAATAAATGGTTTATTTACTAGGAATAAAATTATATTTTGTCGTATTTAAATAAAGATAAATAAATATATTTATTTAAGTGAAATAAATATATTTTTCACAAATAAATTTTTAAGTATCTTTTTTTCAGTGTATTTTTTTAAGAATACATGAATTTTCGTCATACTTGCTTGCCGGCATCCGAATGCGCAAATGTTTGGGCCATGTCCTCGAGCGACTGCTGGGAAAAGAGGTTTTTAGCTTCCTCGATGAAAATGCTAGACGCATCGTCCTCATTATTCTTTTCAGAGCTCGCCAGCCCGATTAGTACCAATAAGAGCGATGTCCTCGACAACCACATCCTCCCGTTTCTATAACACAACATTTGGTTAGCGCGACTATTCGACGATATTCTTGCTGAGTAATCATCGGGGATTCGACGTTGCAATTGCATTTCTCTACGATTTAATGACACGCAATTACAACGAAGCCTCATTTGCCTCCTGATCAAAAACAGAGATCCTTGAGAAGGTCGTTGACCTTAATGGCGGAGATCCTGATTCTGGTTGTGTTATTTTTAGAAGAAGAAACTTTTCGCGAGGTCGTTGTCGCGACGATATTTTACGCGGGCGTCATACCGGAAACGTTTCGGGTCGTAGCCACTTGAATACCGTTGTTTCTTTAGTTGGCTTACCAGTGTTAGTATATTATACTTAAGCACATCTTTTTTCGC